CACCCGCCTACTGCTCTGTTCATCCACCGGGAAGAAGAAGAAAGTCCTGCGTGAAGTACGCCTTATTGGAGTTTATGATGAACCCACAGGGCTATGGATTCCCCTTACCAAATATTTCCTTCAGCTGGTGCTGAACAGAGTGGTGGGCAAGCACAGGAGATGGGATATAAAAAAAAAGATAGGTAGTGCCAAACGTCAGTGCTATTCAGTTGTGTGTGTAGGATGCTAGTCAGGACAAGTGACCAATCTCATTGTCATATGTGAGGTGAGTTCTACTAGAGTGTTCTAGTATGAAAAGGAGAGGATGTTACAGACAAGGGCATCCCTACAATTTTTTGGGTGGCAGTGATTGTGCTGCCGTACGGTACAATACCCTCCACGTGACCTAATTGCTGCCCCATTAGGGAAGGCCTGTATCCCTGTGACTGCTATCGCTTTGTCTGTTAAACGCTAAGAAAACTGTATGATCCACAACTAGATGGAACAGCTTACACATTTATTTATGAAGCCACAGAGGGCTAAAAGCTAAAGTGTATCTATACCCAAAACATGTTGGAGTATTTGGATAGTTTTCTATAGAGCAGGGATAGGTTAGAAATCCTGTCATGCGGCTCTGTTGGAGAGATTCCTTTTCTTCTTGTCTGGTAAAAAGGTTGTCGCCATAGAAGGAAGTGAGGGGAACTCTCTCTAACAGCAACACACTGGGCTGTAGCTAGGGCTACGCAACTGAGGCACTCGCCTCGGGCGCAGGTGTACGGGAGGTGCAGCCAGGAGAGAGAGAGCCACTCGGCCAGGATCTGACAGCCGGCAGCTCTCTCTCCTCACTGCTCGGCCATCCTGAAGTGATAGCACTCCCTCCTTTGCCCCCAAGCTGTACCGCCCTTCTGTGCGTGGCCAAGCGGCTCAGGAGGGAGAGCGGAGGATCGGTAAATATCTGTGATATTTACTGATGCTCTTTGTACCGAACAAGCACTGCAATGATCAGCTGTTCACTCCAGTTTTTGTAAATAACTTGGGACACATAGTACTATGTGTCCCCAGTTATAAGTGACTAGGAAGTGCTTTACATCACTTCCTGTTCGTTCATGTGTTTCTGAATGGGTAGTAGTACTCAGTACAGAGGCTTCTCCCCATTCAGAAACTGGCTTATAGTAAATATTTTCTGAATGAATGGGAACCCTCTGTACTTTCCATTCATTCAGAACAGAGGCTGCAGAAAAAGAGATTGAGGACTCCGTGTCCTCAATTTCTTTTTCTATTTTAAAAGGGAAATGTCAGATCATCAAATTAGACCCCCGGTAATTCCCTGAAGTCCCCCCAACAGTAAAAAAATTAATGAAAATAAAAAGATAATAAAAAATAAAGAAACACATCCTGGAGACGGGGTGCATGACATTACATGACGACGCGCGTGCTCGGCGTTGGGTCACGTCACACGCCTGTTAGGGGGGGGGCATTTTTTTGTTCTTGCCTCGGGCGCAAAAGGAGCTAGCTACAGCCCTGGCAACACAGACAGAAGAAAAATGCTTATTTTTAATTTAAGGAGGATGATAGAATGTCTGCCACCTTTTAATTCATGTCTTTTTTCTCTGTTGCAGATTTTCCCTCACTTCCTGGGAAAATGTCTCGCGAATAGAATGTGAGGTGAAATCTCTTCAACAGAGCTCAGGATAGCAGTAAAAGCTGATGACAGGGGCACTAATTCTTCCCCATTTATCTGCAACATATTTCCCCAAACATGTTCTTACTCTCCATTCTGAGAAAGTTCAAAGAATCACCAAATATCCAAGTCTGTTGTACATAAATTATAATCCAACTTAAAAATTTGCATTGTGTGTGTTAATGTAACAAAAGCATCAGCGGATAAAAATAAATCAGTTATGTCACTTTATTACAAGGCTGAGTTCAGCAATGATCTGTTCACGCCTACACCGCTGTGGCTCTCAAAGATACTGGGCTGTACAAACTCACTACTGCTGCCAAGCAACTTCACACCTACTCTCACTGTACCCACCGGATCTTTTGTTCCCTCTCTTGTGGATTAAAGTGAACACATCAGATGGAGTCTATCCTTCTGATATAGTTTAAGGATGATCAGTTTAGAAGGTTAAATGGATACACATTGAGATTTACAGTTACAGTACTTTATCAAGTTTTGGACTCACCAAAGTTCTCTCCTCCCCAGATGTCCATCTGAGTATCATATTTTCCCAGCTGGTTAAACCAAGACTTGTCCATAACAAAAATACCACCAGCAATGACAGGCGTCCTAATAACAAAATACAAGTAGTCATTGAACCTGAGCAGTAGAAATAAGGAAAGAAAAAGTGTTCGAGTATTCAGTCTCAAAGCTATTGTCAAACTTGCAAATATAATTAATGATTTAGCACAAATAAAGGCAAAGTCCACTTTTTGAGGAAAAAAATACATTCACACTTCTTCATAGAAGAAACAAATGTGCATTTATTATTTTTTCTGAATTGCAGCCATTAAAGCTCTGCAGCCGTGATCAGTAGATTGTGGGTGCAAAGCTCTGGCTCCTGCAGAATGAAAGCCATGCACAGCTGCCAGTGACCACATTTAATGTTACACCCTGAATAGATAGGTGTAACACGGAACATGGTCCAAAAGGTAAACTTAGCCTTTATTGGTATAAATATGCTTTTAAGTTTATTTAATAGTCTAATGAAGAATGCCTCACCACACAGCAACCAATCAGTTCTCATTTCATTTTGAGGACTCCACACTGATTAGAAGAAATCTGATTGGTGGTTCTGGGTTATTCTAGTGTGCTCATTCATCATTGATGTTCTCTGCATCTACATAAGCTGGCCACACACCAGTAAATTTTAAGTTTGAAATCATTTGTTTATGTTTCTTCAATTCTCTAATAGTTCTAATGAGATTTTTCATATGAATGTTCGTACGAAAATCTATCAGTGTATACCCAGCTTTCAATGCTTTGGAAATACTTATCCTGGGCATGCTCTAGATGAATGGTTCCTGAATGATTCCTGACCTTTTAGATGTTATGACACATAGCACCATACAGTCAAATGTACTGTGAGATCTTGTGTTAAATAATAGAATAATTAATAAGCCAGCAAACCAGTGCCTATTATGATGACAAATATTGTTTTCCTACATGTGTGGAACAATTTTGTAGGCTCCAGCAAACCAGTGGAGAAATACAGTTATTAGTTTTTTATGTATGGGAAAGAAGTTCTCCTACCAACCCCAGCTGACGTCTTTTCACTTTTCTGTTTTTCTCCACACCAGAAAAGATACCAGTTAATTTCTTTGTAGTGCTATGGTGCTCAAATGTACGCAGCTGTATACAGAGGCAAATAGATGGCAAATGATGCAGTTAAATGCTAAGCTACAGTACTAAAATGCAATAAATGATAGCCTTGTACTAAAGCAGGAGATATGTGATGTACTGTATAAACAACAGAAGACCACCACATCAGTTGTACTCTATTAGTATGGATGATGTGGAATCAGATGGAGGTACCATATCACATAAGAATATGTATGTATGTGACCTTTTTCCCATCTTATAGTCTCCAGAAGTAGGGATGTCCCAATACTGATACTAGTATCGGTATCAGGGGCCGATACCCGGCATTTTCATGAGTACTTGCACTCATGAAAATGCCCCGATTCTTAAGGCCAATACTGATTAAATTTGTAATCTGCTGCGGCTGTCTGAGTTCCCCGCTTGTGGGAACCTCAGGCAGCCGGCTGGGTACCTGGCAGTAGCTGTCCTTTGCAGTGCCTGTCTGGTTCTATAGCTCCTGCTCCTCCTTCCTGGTGCAGGCACAGCCATGGACAGCCTCACACCGCATGTACAGCCCCGGAGCTGGGGACCACACAGCATTTCAGGCTGTCACCTGTCCGATCAGCATAGTCACTTGCCCTCAGAACTTGCAGAGATCCATATGCCGCCTGGATGAGATCGGCACACAGCCTGGTGAGATGTATTCAGCTCTGGTTAGATGTATTCAGCTCTGGTGACATGTACTCAGCTCTGGTGACATGTATTCAGCCCTAGTGGCACATATTCAGCTCTGGTGACACATATTCTGCTCTGGTGACATGTATTTAGCTCTGGTAACATGTATTCTGCTCTACATTAATAACAGAGGTACAGAAGAAGGCTTGCAATTCCAGACTCTAAAAGACATTTTGTGAGTCCACTTCCTACTAGGATTCAGAAAGATTGTGGGAAAGCTATGGGGTGTTGAGGTTGGTAAGATATCACCTGTTCAGGACACAGGTTGGGAATTACTGCTCTAACTGTTGGAGGTCTTACCATTTGGCAAAAGTCGATTTTTTTATCGACTTTTGTTGAAGTAGCCAATCCAAAAGTTATCTGCAGCCAATCAGATGCACCCCCATTGCTGTCAGAATACAATAGACTGGCAGAGAGTTTTTACTTGTTCAGCTCTGTTTCTCATTCAGTGTATGCCCAGTGTTAGTCTTATTTCACTGGACACTTCTCATGCATCAGAAGCTGTAGCATGCCTCATTTCCCAGGTGGAGGATGTCCAGCATCATCTAGCACTTTACTCCTCTTACTAATCCTGGCCCTCCTTTCATTCAAATGGATTTCGGTCATAGAGGATCAGCATCACAAGCAGGCATTACTACAGCTTCCAGTTTTCAGAAAGCTATGTACAGCACGCTGCCGGGCCCTCCCACCAGCCACAATCTGCCTGCATAGCATAAAGATGCCCAGAGATCTAGTAGTGATGTCACTGGGTCTAACATTAGGTTTACAAACAAAACAGAAAAGGGTTTAATAATTGAATTAGCATGTTGATAAAAAGGGGGGGGGGGGGGGGCAGGCTCCAGGCAAAATATAAGCAGATTAAACTGGCAACTGGCAAGCCTGGCAGTCTTATCTAGCAAGCCTGCCAATCCCTCTGTGATCACATATCTTTCTGAAAAACTACATGATGAAGTGTTTTGATGAAAGACCTCTAATATTGGAGTTTTTCCTTGCTGACAGAATAATCAACCCCAGTCATGTCGATATTTAGCTCTTAATGTGGCTGTCTGTAGATTGACAGCTCTCATCTGAAGAAAGACAGAAGGTAAGAGAACTGCTCATTGTTGAGAAAGGGACAATTATTGACTAGTGACAGAGATCTTCTTATATGTCAGACTATCTCATCATGTTGTCACTGTTCTGTTGTTAAACCGCAGAAAACCATTATCGAAATGATGCCTGAAGATTTTACATCACTTGCATTTATTGGGAAATGTATGTCACCTTCTGTCTTCTTAATATCCTACAACTTTGCAGGACTCCACACTGCCCAGATCCTCAAATTATGAATTCAAATAGAAGAAATAAAAGAAAACCAGTCATTTCTGAAATTCCGCTTGCATTAGCCACCCAAGTGTCTTTTACACAAATCTATACATCACTCATGGCATGTAGAAATGTGGTAGATATTTGTAATGTGTAAAAGAAAATAATGTGTTTCCCACATACCCTGGATGCCTATTATCCTGTAATAGAGATTATGATGGAAAGAAAATCAGACAGGGAGCATTGTACAGATGATTGCTGTAGACTCCTTCAGAACATGAGAGATGGATAACAGTTTCTCCACTGTTGTCTATTGACAACACTAAGTACCGCCTGCTAGGCTCGTACACTATGCACTACTTGTACAGTGTTTGCTTTTGATTATTTTGTCTTCTTCAGATCTGTCTGTGGATGGGATAATGTTTTGATATGTGTTCACAGATGGAACGACACCTTGGATATATGCATACCTTGCTTGGTACCAGCTGTGCAGAGTTTACTCTAGATTATACTCAATGATGGTAAAAAGTTCATTATTTTACCAACATGTAGGTGGATAGATTATGGAGAATATACAAAGCATACTTCCAACAATTTTAGTTGTCACATTTAAGACAGCTAACAGATGTTTTATTTACAGGCTAATTCAATTTTTTATACCATGTTGCACCAATATTTAGGGGAGCACTGTGCCATTCTGCAGCACCCCGCCCCCTTGCCTTTAATTGCAGGGTTTTCAATGCAGCATTCTGTATTCACAGGATTTGTGAACAGAAAAACTACAAGTCCCATCTGCCACTGTGGCAGAGGAACTCCTAGATCTCAATGAAACATAGCAGCACTTGTAGTCCAATGATTACTTCCTACAGCTCCATAACCGAAGTTTCATACCTTCGTATGGATCTGGGACCGGGGAATATTCTGCAGGAGCCTACACACTGTATGCATGATCCACTGATCGTGCGTAGCTCCAATGCTGCAGGCTCTAATGCAAAAAATGTATAAATGCACATTTTTTATTTTTGCAATATGAGTACATTTATTTATTTATTTATTTTAAATAGTGGAATATGCTTTTAATGAACATAGAAAGTTAACATGGATCATTTATATAACTTCAATCTCTTGGTGCATAACAGGGCTATACAGTGATTACAGCACCCTGTTTCACCTTTTTGTCTAGACAATGATAACCTCTAACTAACTATGTAACAAAGTTGTGTCAATGGTATTTAGTAGAGATGAATTTACTACAGAAAATGAATTCCAACACTGCAAAGCCTCTATTTTTCTTATTTCTAAATTTTTTAAATTAGTATCGTTTGTACCAAGTTAAGTATTGTAGCATAGTAGTTTCTTTTCATAATATAATAATTATGGCAAGCCTACTAAGGGATAACTATACCTTTATTACAAATTGAAGGGTTGAAATAGTTAATGCATGATCTAAACCCTGGAACATAAATGTAATATATTGCAGCTTACTAGTCTTCAAATGTGGTGGCTGCATTAGTTTAATTTTTTTCAGGCTTTTTTTCCGTTATTCCTGTCCTCGGGTTACATCACTGGCTTGCTATACTGTGTTTATGGGGGAGCAGTGTTGTCACACAAGGGGCAGATAAGAAGGAGTTTCAGCAGGGGCAGATGCGGAGGGTCTCAGATGCGGAGGTCTCACAAGGGGAAGATGGAGAGGGTCTCAGCAGGGCAGATGCTGAGGGTTTGGAGGGTCTCATTAGGGGCAGATGCGGAGGGTCTCAGCAGGGGAAGATGTGGAGGGTCTCACAAGGGGCAGATGAGGAGGGTCTCAACAAGGCAGATGCCGAGGGTCTCAGCAGGGCAGACGTGGAGGGTCTCACCAGGGACAGATGCGAAGGGTCTCACCAGGGGCATATGCTGTGGGTTTCACCAGGGGCAGATGCAGAGGGACTCACCAGGGGGCATATGCGGAGGTCTCACCAGGGTCAGATGCCGGGGGTCTCACCGGGGGATAATGCGGTGAGACCAGGGGCAGATAAAGAGCATCTAAGCTGGGGCAGATGCAGGCACCATTCCTCCAGTGGGTGGGCCTGGGACTGAATCTCAGTCGGGCCCCTCAGCCTTGGGAACTCATGCAGCTGCACTGGCAGTAAAAGTTAAAGCGATGACGGCAGAGTCTGGTGGGCCCGGGAGGCGGGAGACACTGCCGTTGCTGCTTTAACACAGCCGCATCTTCTAGTTTGGTATCAGTTTGGCCGAAAAGAGCATGGAGATGGCACACACAGCCGCCTTTCCTTCCATGCAGGCTGGAAAGGGCAGCGTGGGGGATCTGTGATGGGCCCCCTCCTTGCTGCAGTGGCTGAGGGCCTGAATGGCCAGTCCACCCCTGTGCTCAACTCAGCTCCACTATCTTTGTTTAATATAAGTATAGTTATTGTTTAATAGGACCATTAATCATTATTTGCTGACAGTGTAGATTTATAAAATTTATATCCAGATCCATTATGTTACTGGCAGAATGACAGAAAACACATTCAATAATTGTATAAACAACATATATTATTTTGAAAATTGTCATCGCCAAGTTAGTTAGTGAAACACTTAAAGTGCTATATGGTGACAAATAGAATTACAGTGTATGTCAAGTCCCAATTTTTTTTTTCTACTTTTGGATAAAGTGGTAAATGGTTAGAACCCCTGTCAGGGTTTTACTGCTATGCAAACCTGCCAAAAAGTTATTTCCCCTCACTTCTTGTCCTGCTGATGTTTCATCAGACAGGAAGTAAAGGTAACTTTCCAACAGCATCAAAGACATACTGCAAATAAAAATGCTTTTCTTTAGTAGAGTAGGGAAGACTAGGATCATTATCAGATTTTCCTGGAGCCTACGTGACCGCATGCTCCGCCCTCTATCCCACCCACAAGACTAACTTAAATCTACAAAAGAGTGAATTCAACCCCCCCCGCTGCATTAGCATAACAAGATTTCAGATAACTAAAGGAGAGAACATATGCTGCCATGCTAGGCACCAGGAAAGGAAAATTACAGGTAAGTAAGGTACAATGTTCCGTTTTATTTTCTGTCTGTGTTTCTGTTACAGATTTTCCCTCACTTCCTGTCTGGGGAAACCATTGTTATTGGGGCAGGAAATTAGGGGATTTTCTATCTAACGGAGTGCCAGATAGCAGTAAAATTGTGACAGGAGTTTTAATTCTTTCCCACTCTCTCCAAAACCAGAAAAAAAATCTATGAACTGCAGTACAAGTGCATAATAGCATAAATGCTTGTATGTTGCTCAGGGGCGTATCTACCCTGGATGCACCACTAATGTTGCTTATGAGAAAAAAAGCAATAGTTACCTTATTGAGGAGGTTGGATCCGTGCGGGACATCTTTTGTTCAATGGGAATCTGCTCCCATTTAAAATGAAGACTCCAGTCAAAACCTATTAGTATAAGATAATAAATTATTTAGTTATTTATTTATGGATTTGTAAAAAGGAACACACGCAAATGACCTGGTTATAGGCAGAATCGAATAAGAAAATGTAAGAAATGTAGGTATGCATGGTATCATATAATGATTAAAGGGTAAGGTGACTCAAATCTGAGTTTCTTGAAGATCATATCAGAGTAAATCAGACTTTGACTTCTTGTATTTATTGGGGCTTTGGTGGCATGATACTTTTTTTATCTATTTAATGTTACAAAGAATAACGGTTGAGCGTAACTTGCAGGCAGGGAAATCTCTCTTCTGGATGTAAGGTGCTGGTGGGTGATTTACCAACTTTCAATATATATATACAGTATATGATATGTCAGTTTTGGGTGGCCTGACACTTTAAATATTTGTATGAATTACGTACCTCCTCTTAAGTCTGCAGACGCTGCCAGATAGGCAAAATTATCCAGGCTGATGACATCAATTATTGGACTGACAACACGGGTGTGATCCTAGAAAAACATGGGATCCCATAAACTTAATTTAGTTGAATACTGGCAGCTCCTACGGGGATGACTCACTATTTCAGCTCACAAGCAGAAGGGAATTTAGCACCTTGTTTTTTTGTAGTGTAAAAATATCTAGCTTATCATGTAAAATTCCTTTTGAGAATCAAGCACAAATTTGAAGTGCGGTATTTTCCAATCAGTAAATAAAGAAAGGTGCTGGGTGATACAGGTTCTGCTATGTGAAGATTTATTAATGCCAGACAGGTAAAAGAGTCAGCTAGATGCCTCAAGGGCTCATACAAAGCCATTACTAAGCTACCTGCCACATTGATATCAATAAATCTTTGAATATCAAAAAACATTGGACTGTACCTATTATCTGCAGAAAGGTTGGGATGAAGGTAATGTTGAATATGACTTTGCTCACCTCCTTGACCCTCTGAAGCAAAGGCTGAAGCCATTCATTGTTGACCTCACAGTGACTATCCAAAAATGTGAGAATTCCTGTAGAGGCTGCTTCCGCTCCACGAACACGAGATCGGATCAGTCCTAAGAGTTAAAAGATAAAGCTGATGAGGGAGATGAAGCAGTAGGTGCTAGCGCTGGTATCCTAGCACTGATATCTGTTAGAGCAGTTATATGGTATTTTAACATAGCTGCAAAAGTAAAATGCTTTCAGAACCACAGAAATAATCCACAGACATTCTTCCTCTGATGCTTTTCTCCCCTAGTGGGGCTTACTTCTATAGTGTGATTAAGCCCCACTGGGAAGCAAAATGTGTCAGGGGAAAAGAGCCTGTAGAGCAGGTGTGTTGAATTAAAATTCGGGAGGTCTGTTGATAAAATGTTTCTACAGGTCTTAATCTAATGTCCCCTCAATGCCTCCTTACATTAGTCATCCCTATCAGAGCTCTCTCTTACATTAGTCTTCCCCATCGGAGTGCCCCCTTACATTAGTTGTTCCCATCAGTGTGCCCACATACAGTAGTTGTCCCCATCAGAGCGCTCCCTAACATTATTAACTAATGTGAGGGGGGTATTCTGATGGGGACAACTAATGTAGGGGGGCACCCTGATGGGGATAACTCATTTTTAGTTGTCCCCATCAGAGTGCTCCCTTACATTGGTTGTCCCCTTTAGAACCACCACCTGCTTTTTGTCCAGACTTCAGTCCATTATTTGGCGATCTATGCTGTAGAGTGTTCCTGTTTTGCAGACGATTTCCTCAGAAGATTTCCTCTGACCGGCAGTGCGGTACGGGAACATAATGCTGGCTCCTTGCTGATTGGCCGGGATCGGCGAGTATCAAAAGCAAAATATCGGTACTCAATACTGAAAAACCGGTATCGCTGCATCCCTAGTCTACACATACTGTATATCATGAGCCACAGTGCACATGCATTTAAATACATACAGTCAGTTATTGAATGCAGGAAGTAATTCTACAACATTTGTCATCATCTTGGGGATTCACAACCACTCCATAGTGATTGTGAAATTGTTATACAAATCACAACACGCGGGGGAGTTTATGACACAATGGAATCCATATCGCACCTTCTCTCCGGCTGTTTCTCAGGCATTTAACCTTCGGAATTTTTGTTAGTAGCTGGCAGTCATCGGCTGCAGAAAAAGAAGAAAAAAACAAATAATTGGCACACTGCAATTACGATTCTCCTCAAAGGGAGAGCTCCCAGGAGTGTTTCCATAGGAAGAATCTGCTTTCACTCATTATCGTATTAATCAGACTGACAGAACTAATCCTCTCAGCTAAAGTGCACTCATGCTCATCTGCTCAAATAGAAACCACTCCACAAGCAGAGAGGCTGCATGTCTCAACATCAGGATCAATCATGCAGAAAGCACACCCATGTAGAGCTGATGTACAACCTGGTCCTGCACAGCAGAAGGCTGCACCATAAATGTACATAGTCATAACATTTTGTTATATATACAACCCCAATTCCAAAAAAGTTGGGACACTGTAAACTCTACATAAAAACAGAATGCAATGATTTGCAAATATCATCAACCCATATTTTATTCACAATAGAAAATAGAAAACATATCAAATGTTTAAACTTAGAAAATGTACCATTTTATGAAAAAAATAAGGTAACATTGAAATTGATGGCAGCAACACGTCTCAAACAAGTTGGGACAGGGCAACAAAAAGCTGACAAAGTAAGTGGTACTAACTAGAAGAGCTGGAAGAACATTTTGCAACTAATTAAGTGAATTGGCAACAGGTCAGTAACATGATTGGATATAAAAAGGGCATATATATAGAGAGCCAGAGTGTCTAAAGGTGCCCATACACTGCTCGATTCTCGTACGAGAATCGCGGGAAATCCCGCGATCGTACGAGAATCGAACAGTGTGAACGAAGACGTGCAACCGTTTCCACTGTACGGTCGCACGTCTTTTGTCTAGTTTGATTTTTGTCTAGTTTGATTAATTTTCGGCTGGTTTGAACGGTGCTCGGGAGACAAATGCCAAACGGGCCGGTTTGCGCACGCACGTTCAGCATTGCGGTCATCGGAAGCCCGCCCCACAGGGGGCGGGCTTGCGATGATCGAGAGTACGATCTGCCTGTCCAAGATGGGCAGATCGTACGTTTTTTTAATCACTTTACAACCATCGCAAGACTAAGGTCTTGCGATGGTTGTACAGTATATGGCCACCTTTAGAGGTAAAGATGGCCAGAGGTTCACCAATTTGCGACTAAAAACTGTAGAATAATTTCAGAACAATGCTGCTCAATGTACAATTGCACAGACTTTAAATATATCATCATGTACAGTACATAATATCATCAAAAGATTCCCAAAATCCAAGGGACAAGGCCAAAACGCAATAATGGATGCCTGTGATCTTTTCTGAACATGATCCAGAAACGCTGCCATCTTCTCTGGGCCAAAGCTCATTTAAATGGTCTGTCGCAAAGTGGAAAACTGTTCTGTGGTCAGACGAATCGAAATTTGACATTCTTTTTGGTAACTATGGGTGCCTCGTCCTCCGGGCTAAACAGGAGAGGGACCTTCCAGCTTGTTTTCAGCGCTCAGTTCAAAAACCTGCATCTCTGATGGTGTGGAGGTGCATTAGTTCGTATGGAATGGGCAGCTTGTACATCTGGAATGGCACCATCAATGCTGAAAGATCTATCTAGGTTTTAGAGCATAGACCATATGCTCCCATCCAGACAATGGGGTCTATTCACAAAGCTGCCGAAGGATCTGGCCGTAGCTTCGGCCGATCCAAGGAGGGCTTTGCATCCTAGAGCAGGACAATGCTAAAACGCACTAGTTGCATGGCTTCATAGTAGAAGTGTCTGGGTGCTTAACTGGCCTGCCTGCAATCCAGACCTTTCACCAGTTGAAAATATTTGGCGATCTTGAAACAAAAAATATTACAAAGAAGACCCAGGATTGTTGAGCAGTTAAAACCGTTTATTAGTGAAGAATGGGGCAACATTACTCTCCCAAAACTCCAGGAACTGGCCTCCTTAGTTCCCAGACATTTACAGAGTGTTGGTAAAAGAAGTGGGGATGCTACATTGTGGTAAACATGGCCATGTCCCAGTTTTTGTGTTGCTGCCATCAATTTGAAAATTACCTTTTTAAATTGTGCATATTCCTAATTAGTTCAGCTCTGAATAACTGAGCGTTAATTTTGTCACTAAGCGGACATTGTGACTACTATCTATCGCTTGACATACCCATGCCTATAAAAACAGGCCAAACAGAAAACTTAAAAAACACAGTTAATAAAGTCAGATTGTCAGCAATATCAATAAGATATGTGAATATGGGGGTGTGGCTTGGCAATGGCCAACGGAGTGTGTCAGCTTTACTCCTGTCCCAGCTTCAACTAATACTGCACTTTTCCGTGTCTCAGCTACATAGTCGCCCAAATGACCAGAAAGGACAAGCTACGAGGGACTCAATCAACCCACAAAACTGCCTTCCAGCATCTATTTGAAGAGGCGGCACATATCTCAGACATGCGGCCTTCACCGCACTCAGCACCAGCCTCAAGCACTACAGCTCCCGCCTCTCCTCCATTTTCGGATCTGGCACCACCTCCTGCACTGCCAGGACGGATTGCCTCCCCACCTCGAGAGGAGACAGGAGAGCGGGCTACAAGTTCTTCATGCTCCCCTCTGCACTCCAGCCTGCCAGGTTCACCTACAGTCAGCCTGCTGCCCACAGAACTCAAGGTAGGCACTTGGCTCCCGCTACCTCCTCCACATCATCCTGCTCCTCCAGCCTGTCACACACTGCATGAGGCCACACAGTGCCTCCGGTGCTCAGCTATTCTCCTCCTCCAGGACTATGTCCTTCCACTACATGATGTCCATGATGCCTGGGGAAAAGGATTCTCTGGGCTCCGGGCGATCTGCCTCACTGTCAGGCGCCGCACCCTGGGGCTCACAGAACTCTCGTGCATGGTCACTTACAGATGCTGATCTCAGATCCTTGCTTAGTGTTCTACCGATGAAAGCAGACATTGCAGCCCTTGTTCCTACCAAAGCTGACTTTGAAGCGTTCACTGCACGCATTGTATCCACCTCTAATCAAGACCTGGCTGAAATTCGTCAAGAACTCACAACATTCTTTTCTAAGCTGACAGAAGTTGAACAGACCAGCTCAAATCTTCTTGACAGAATTTTGCTCCTGGGGCAAAACCAATTTCAAGATCAACAACAGGTGCTGGACATGCTGCTTGCCTTGGATGACCAAGACAACAAGGGCAGGCGCAACAACATTCGCATTCAAGGCATTCCGGGATCCACTTCTGCTTATAAGTTCAAGGCCACAGTCTGTAGTATATTTAACCTTTATCTTGACAACCCTCCCGGAACTCTTATTGAGATAGAGCTCACAGATCTTTGGGCCCATGCCTGCAAGATTCTGCCCATCCCAGGGACGTTATTTGTAGGGTACACCATTATGCCAAGAAAGAGGAGATTATTACCGAAGCCTGGCATAAGGGCACCCTGAATTTTGATGGCGCTCAAATTCAATTGTTTTCTGATGTCTCAAATCATACTTTACACATATGACACAAATTGAGACCATTGATGTATACAGTCAGGGAGAGTTCTCTCTCAGGTCCGCTCCTCTGTGACTGACATCAGGCGATGTGCGGGTGCATTACCCAGCCTGCTATTGGCTATTTCAATTTTAAATAGCCAATAGCAGGCTTTGTTTATTTCTGCCCACTGCCGGTTTGAACATTGCATTGGGCAGCCAGCGGCAGGTGTTTTTTTTTTCTTTGTTGGTCGGCGGGGGTCGGGATTGACATCGTGGGACATTTCTTTTTTGTTAAATAAAGGAATTATCAAAAACTTGTGTTGTTTTTTTGTCTAATTAAAGGATTTATCTCTAAGTTTGTGTATTTATTTACATTTTATTTAACTCTTTAGTGAATGAGTTAAATCAAATTTGAGTGTGTGAATGAGTGTGAACAAGCCCTGAGGGAGAAAAGTATCCACATACTGACTATCACTGTGTGCCTCCATTCCTCTCTAACGAGGTCACATTTCCCATACAACAACACACACTGCTCTGTCTGAACCCACTCCATGTATTTCACACATGGAGCAAACTCAGCCCTGTGCTCACCATCTGTCGATCCACTTACCTCACAGGTGACCCCTCTGTATCGCGCTCTCTCCAAGTGTGCCTGTGTGTAGAGCGGAGCAGCCACCTGTCACAGAGTCCCGCCAGTGACTAGAACTCCTGCCGCCTCCTTCCATCACGCGTCACTTCCTCCGATCACAGACCTCAGTGCAGCAGCATCGATTCCGTGGCCGGCTGCCTGCTCTTCACTGCTGGGATCTCCCCTCCCGGCTGCTTCTTTGCCCGGCTCTCGCCCTCCCCCTTCTCCTCCACAAGCAGTCTCCGTACGTTAAACAGAGCTTTTACAAACATGCTGCCAGACAGACTTTTGCAGTGCAAGGCGTTTGCCTAGGGCCGCCCTCCATGAAAGTGCCACCCCAGGCAAACGCCTTGTTTGCCTTGCGGTAAATACACCCCTTGTGGAGTGTCAAAAGTAAAAAAGAAACAAAGTAAACATTTAATGTTACTTTTCTGCAACTAATTGTCTTTCGCAATTATCACTTAACTCATCCGAAATTAACGAAAATTCAGATTTACCCAAATCGGAATGCCGAAACTATTCGACTTTCAGACCCGAATCCAGAAAAAAGAAATAACAAAACATCCAAAATGACATGAAATGAAACACATATTTTTCCGGCTAAAAAGTCTAGTCATAGCCCGGGGCAAGGGAAGTATTGGGCCCCCCTACCGTGTGGACCGTTAGCACTCCTCTGATTAGTATCTCTCTATCCCATCCCCTACCTCCTCTCTAATCAGTACCCCCCATTTCCATCCTGCCCCACCTCCTTTCTGATCATTCATCCCCCCTCCACTCCCCCACCTCCTCTCTGACAGCTGACCCATCTGCTCCCATCTCTCACCTCCTCTCTGATCAGTACTCTACCTTCCCCCACTTCCTCTCCGCCCTTTACCATCCTCAACCTTTTCTCTGATCAGTACTCCTTTTCCCATCCCCCACCTGCTCTCTGATCAGTACCCCCATTCAGCACTACCATT